AAGTTCAAATACATATTTCGGCTCGGATTTTCCACTACCCAGCCAGCGAGCTAATAACTAGGCAGAGGTATGTTGTTAGTTGGGAGTTATTATACTTTTTTTTTATATCATTAAAATGCATGATAAAACCAATGTGTACATGTGTAATTAATGGAAATAATTATAAAAAACACACGAGGAATACACATTCAGGAGGCATAAGAAAGAATAATATCACCTAGGTGGTGGGTTTATCAATGTTAAAAACACATGGCTTGGCACGGCCTAGTGGTTAGGGAGGTGGATGGTGTTGACTAGTTGCCTTCCTTCTAATCTATATTTTCAAAAATAGAGACAGCGAGCGTAGATAGCTCTCGTGTAGTTTCGCGCAAAATACAAACCAAATCAAAAACAAGCAAAAACCCAAAAATATTATAGCAGAAAGAAAATACAAAAGATATGCAAATAAATTGTACAATGCACTATTATTTTATACGAGAGTAATTTGCTTTACACTTAAACATTTCACAATATTTTCATGCTGCCATACAGCTTATCATTGTGCAATTGAGGAAAACTTATTTGGTCACCTTTTGACCTTCTCAGTTTTTACATTAGCTCTTACAGCCCAAGAATGTCCATATCCTGATTCTGTGCAGCCAAACCAATGTTGTAAGTGTTCCTTCGATCTATTTACCTTCAATATTTCATCGTATTTGCTGTATGTTCTTGGTCCTTGTCTTGCTGGAAGATGAATCCATGCTCGATGATGATTCGTGTTTCTGAGAGAATGGCATGATAGATTAGAATTTACCTGTACTTCTGACACAGTCACTTTTTTTCTAGATCACCAACAATGTTGTCTGAGATGCAGCACTAATCATGTAGTGATTCCCTATCATTCTTCACTGTAGATACTGTAGTGATCCCTATCATCCTTCACTGTAGATACTGTAGTGATCCCTATCATTCTTCACTGTAGATACTGTAGTGATCCCTATCATTCTTCACTGTATATACTGTAGTAATCCCCTACCATTCTTCACTGTAGATACTGTAGTGATCCCCTATCATTCTTCACTGTAGATATTGTAGTGATCCCTATCATTCTTCACTGTAGATACTGTAGTGATCCCTATCATTCTTCATTGTAGATACTGTAGTGATCCCCTATCATTCTTCACTGTATATACTGTAGTAATCCCCTACCATTCTTCACTGTAGATACTGTAGTGATCCCTATCATTATTCACTGTAGATACTGTAGTGATCCCTATCATTATTCACTGTAGATACTGTAGTGATCCCCTATCATTCTTCACTGTAGATACTGTAGTGATCCCCTATCATTCTTCACTGTAGATATTGTAGTGATCCCCTATCATTCTTCACTGTAGATATTGTAGTGATCCCCTATCATTCTTTACTGTAGATATTGTAGTGATCCCTATCATTCTTCACTGTAGATATTGTAGTGATCCCTATCATTCTTCACTGTAAATACTGTGCATTGACTATCATATCCTTTTTGCCGTGGAACAAACTTTAATTGATTGTTTCTGAACACTTCAATCTCGGATTCGTTTCTAAAAAATGCATATTTCCAGCTTTTCTTATTTCAGTGTTTATGGCCCGGTGCTCATTTCAACTTTTTGATTTGGTTACTTCTTCTCAGCAGCGATTTTCTAGTAGCTGCATTTCTCTTGAGTCCACTTCATGTTAATGTGTATCTTACTGTTGTTCAAGTAATAGTCATACTTGTTTTTACAGCTAGGTTAGTGGCAAGATATGTACTCCTAAAAGACGCTTTCTGAAATACTTAACATTATTTTTGAAGAGTTTCGGTTTTCTACAGTGATCACTTCTGTTTCAAGCAGTGCCAGTTCTTTTGCCCTCATCAGTCTTGCGTACAGCACCTACTGAAACACGAAGTTTCGCCCCAGTTTTTTGCTTGGAGTATCATATTTACACAATAAAGGAGTTGCATTCTCGTAGCATTTTCCTATTAAACCCGTTTCCATAATTATTTCCAATAATGTATACATTGAGTTTTTGTGCTTATAAATAAAACAGAGTATAGACAAGTTTTGTTTAAAAGGTAAAGCTCAGGTGATTGCAACAGGACAGAAGTGGAAGTGATTGAGGTATAAAAGAGTAACGCAAATAGAAAAAACGTGTTTTTAATAACTTAGATATAAAAGTGAAATACCGCGTGATCCATATTTATAAATAAACAAAGACAGTTCGGATACTGTGACGTTGAACTCACTCTCACACCTCAGAGGAACGTAAGAAGCATAATAAAAACGGTCACGTACTAATAGAGTAAGTAAAAAAAGGGGAAAAATCATGAGATAAATCGAGAAAGATTATTTAAGAAATCATTTAAAAATTCAGGAATCAAGCACTACTCGGAATTACTCCAGAGAATTGTAGAAAACAACATTAACAGTAAAAGACAAGTTTGGAGACAGGATATACCCCCTTCCCCCCAAAAAATCAACAACGACAACAAAGAAATAAAACTGGGCATTGTGCATTGAAGCAACAGTGCACCTGTTAATTGTGAAACAGCAGTATGATAGGCACACATACATAAACTTCAATGTAATGACGCTTATGTTAGGAAATTCTGCCATAGATCACTGTTGTGTATTACCAATGTATCAGACTTCGGATTATTAAGCTTAAGCTGCTTCGAAAGAATTTAACCGCCTCCAAATTTGAGTTAGTAGAATTTATAGATGAGTTTTCAGGTTTATCCCCTTGAATTTTAGAAAAATAAAAACGTTCATGTTAAATTTCCCCAAGAGAGTGAAAAGGGACTTACACATTTCACGTTATGCATGTTCGTAACCTTCAAGTTGATTAATCCATAAAATAAAATTCTTAGACATGAGATAACAAAAATAAAATAAAAGAGAATGATATATCACTTAAGCCACTGATTAAGACATATTACAAGAGCTGAATGACGTCAAAGTATCCTGTACATTACTGTAAATGTAGGTCTCTAAATGTATGTAGAAGTGAATGTTGAGATATCTTTAGCTATATAAGTATTTCTGAACACTATACAAATCTCAGAAGAACTTAAAGATGTCACAAATATCAGTGGGGGACATTATAACGTATAGAATTAACCACTAAACTAACAGAAAAACAAAACAAAGATGCTCAAGATGCTGAGTCTCTACGTAATATATCTAACATATACACATATATCCTTAGAAGTTTCAAACTGCTGTGAACGAAATGCACACCAGGTTTTGCTTTCATCGCTCAACTTATCCGTAAGATAATAAAAATAATCATCGATTGAAATGGACAAAATGATAAGATACTTCATTCGTACATCTAAAACGATTCAACGTGTGTGTTTGCTGCACCACCAGTCGTTGGCTAAAAGAATAATACCTAGTGCTTGTCGAAACACAGACACGACTCAGGCAACGTCGACCATGTATACCAAAATGATCACAGAATCAAATTCATAAAGAAAAAAAACTCCTTACAGAACTAAAATATTTTCCCTAAAGAAATATTAGGGAAACAACTGATATACATAAAATGCAGACAAACTCATCAAAATGATAGAGGTTATTAACGGAACAAAATATAGCGTAGGATGTGACAAAATTGTAGTGAAAAAAATTAATTATCGTATATGTAACGGTTCTCCCACAGTATACTTTAGAAAATGTTGTACATGATATATCAAAACTAATCTAATAATTAACTGTACGTATTATAAATTAATTTTCGTTAGTTCGTATTTTCTACTTAATCTGTGCTTAAAAAGTTTGTTCATATTGACATCACTGTGACCACCATTACGATGAACAAAATGAGCGTTGTCACCACGACCATGATGGACAAAGTGAACATTGTTAATCACCATTATGATGAACAAAATATAGAAAAAAACAACACTGTAACCATAACTACGACAGACAAAATGAATATTATGACCACCATTATAATGAACATGAAAAAAAAGGAAAGCACATTGTCACCACAACCGTGATGAACCAAATGAATGCTATAACGACGTTCATAATGAACAAAATAACACTGTGAGCACAACCATGGCGATCAAAATAGCCACTACATTATGTCCATTCAGAGATGGCTTATAGATATCAGTTTGATTGCCGATAGAATTACCAATGTGATAATGGAGATGTCCTTTCGTGACAATATTAATCATGTAAATAATCATCGTGACTGTTCATATCAATAAAGTCCGCAAGGACGTATACATGAAGGCAGCAAAGGTTGTTTAGTTTTCACGAACTATTTTTTATCACAATTCATAAATTTCACGGACCTTGTTTGTTCAGAATATCAGACCACTTAATGGATTAACATAATGCACATCTTCACTTATTTCAAAAATAAGAATATGTTGTGGCCTTGTTTAAGATGAGAAGTTAAATTTATTATCAAGAGGGCAAGACGGCGCTAAAGGGGCAGCCAAATAATTGGAGAAGAGGATTGGTTAGGCAGAAATACAGACAAATGCTTACGGCTAACTTAAACCAATACTGACACAACATGACAGCGAACCACACACGTGAGGCTCCGGAAGCTGTAATTGGACTTCCCGCTGAGCAGGAGGCGGCCCATTAGCCTTGTACCTTGGGCCTTCTATAGTATACTGTTGAGAATAGGTATGGTGTCAGTTTCTGGTGTTATCTCCCTTCTGGCAGGTAGAACACTACCACAGTGGAGTTGGGAGTGTCGACACAGTAGGAGAGCCAATTGCGCTTAATTTGTCCCAGTACCGCTGCAGTTTATACTTCATATTGCCAGCCATATTAGTGTGCTGTAGAGTAGTCGATGCCTGGTGGTCATGTCATGACTGGATGTTATCTTTTTCATCATACGTCTAAACTAAAGTTGTTAGTTGCGTAATTTAAAATAAGCTACTCATGATCACGATATCAAATTGGGGAAGTGACCTCTTTAATTTATATGCAAAGGAACAATGCTGGCTGTATAAAACTGTTTCAAATTTATATTTTATTAGTGAGTAATAATAGCAAAAAAATGAATACGTCTGAAATATCATGTCATATAAAGTGACAGTCTGATAGTTTCTTCCAGGATACTAACTTTGCCTGAGTTTCTGTTTCCGGCAAGGTTTCGATAGCTTGAACAAGGAACTCTTTTTTTATTTATTTTTTATTTTTCTTGAATCAGCGTGATGCAGACAATAAGAGTGGTCATAGCCAGCTTTGTTTCGGTGGCGCTTTTATCTGACGTGGTTGCTATTCAGTGGCTGTAAGTATTCTTTAGGATGTTGCTTGATATAACTATTGGTTAAATATCCCTTAACATTAATCAATGAGTTAAAACTAATTAATTTATAAATTCAATTAAGATTCTTGAATTTTTATTGATTCATTAAGTTTAGATACCTGTGATCAGATTTAGATGTGGTTTAGTACATTCATAATTTCAGTGGTGAATTAAGATAATTTATGGTTGAATATCCATTTCTGTTGAATAACATATTCACTTATCAGATAACCCGTGTTGGAAAATATTCAAATATTATTCACAAACTTAATCAAATTGCTTATTGTTTAATTGTGTTTTTAAATAATTTAATATATACGAGCCGATTTTGCTTTGGTATCAGTAGGATATCCTATCCATTGTTTGATTAAGTTGAAATGTTGATAGACGAATGCATTTAAATATTAAATATTTAAATATTTATTAACTCGCTGAATTTCCATACAGTAGAACATTTAACTGTGTGAATAAGTTTACACCTGGTTGAAATGTTACCAGATGAATACATTCATATGTTAGTTTAATATTTATTAGTTCATTTAATCTAAATAGAATAAATCACCAATATATTGACCCCCCATTTTCACAACGGTATGTCTGTGGACTTACAATGCTAGAAACCGGGTTTCGATACCCGTGGTGTGAAGAGCACAGATAACCCATTGTGTAGCTTTCTGCTTAACTTCAAACAAACCGGCCCAGCATGGCCAGGTAATTAGGGCGCTCGACTTGCAATCTGAGGGTCGCGGGTCCGAATCCCTGTCCCATCAAACATGCTCGCCCTTTCAGTCGTGGGGGCGTTATAATGTGACGGTCAATCCCACTATTCGCTGGTAAAAGAGTAGCCCAAGAGTTGGCGGTAGGTTGTGATGACTAGCTGCCTTCCCTCTAGTCTTACACTGCTAAATTAGGGACGGCTAGCGCAGATAGCCCTCGTGTAGCTTTGCGCGAAATTCAAAAAAACAAAACAAAAACAATTTAGTATATGATATACTCATGGAGCCAAGGACCCATTTTTAGGTTTGGGCGTGCCAATCTGCTGTGAAAGGGTGGTGCCTATGGACATTAAGAAAGAATTTTAGGATTATCACCCCTTGCAGATTTACGCAGGTGGGCCTGGGCAGAACCATGTTCATCCATGGTTGAAAATATATCATTTTTTCAAAAATACCTTTTCTGTAATAACTCCGTTAATATTTATCATAAATATATGATTAATATATCAAATGAAAAAGGAAAACGTTGACTAAAGAAAGACACCATTAATATTTATATCATCTCATTTGCATATTCATGACATATCCTTAATATGCAAATTTTCATCCTGATCTTTTTTTTTTACCACGGTTGCCATGGGAACGGCCCTGCTCAGGCTCCCCTGCGTAAATATGCAAAGGGTGGCTACCATAAAAAAAAATTCTTAATGCCCATACTAATAAAAAAATTACACTATCCTTTAATAGCACACCAGCAACGCCAAACCCCCTTGGTTCCCTGGGTAATATGATTTTCAATACATCCATCAAAATTATAAAACGGCCGCAATAAAACAATAACAGGTATTTCGTAAATATAACATCTTTCCAATAGACACTAGAAAGCGTGGATGTAGTTATAGTGAGTTATTTATTTTTTTATAACTAAGGTTAATTACAGATTAACATTGGTAAATGTGGTCGAACATCTACTCAAAGAACTGGGTCAACGTTGCTCTTGAACATTCAACAGACTTTATTTCCTTCAGATATAGTCCTACCTAACTGTTGTATTACCCCTTACCCTTTTTCTTAGCCATCACACTCTTCTGTTATCATCCTCTTACTCTTTCTTTACATCTCTGGAAACAAATGCTATCCGTGTATGCATTTTTTAACTTCCTCGCCAATCAAACAACGGATAACCTGGTGAGACCAGGACAAATCAACTGACAGGAATAACTTTCTTTAACCACGATATCTCCCAATCACGTCGTTAATCCAGTCATGATATGAGTCTTTTTATAGTAGGCAACTAATTGGAATTTGACGCTTACAGGAGCCTCTCCGGACAAAGTACAGTGGTAATAGACTTATCCTCCAGCTAATGCGATACATTTGGAACATTTCGGCACTTACTACAGTATGGTCGTATTTCATAACTGACAGGATGGCTGAATACTTACGCACACCACCATCACAGATGTCTACAAGAGTTTCCATATTCTGTTCACTTCAGATTCAGGACCTTTAACACCTGTTAGAAACATCAGTTAGATTAACATTGTATAAATTAAAAAGAAACAAATTAAAAATGCAAACATTCAAGGCCTATCATAACAAAAGAATTGTTTATGCTAGTATGTGTCATGCCTGTTGTTTTAGAAGCGAGATTACACAGCATACTTGTAACAAGATGTTTAATACTTACAATAAAACGAGCTTTATAAAAACAAAAAACAAAAAAAAACGATTTAGTCTTTAGACGTAAGTCAGCTCAACACTATAATATAAGATAAACTCCATTTTTCTAACCTACTCTTTCACATCCTATTCCTAACCAGGTTCAACAAAGTTAATAAACTAGTAACATACGAAGTTTCATAGTACGTGTCTTTCAGCTTTCATGTAGGAGATGAAGTAAACCACCCAGCTGTTCTTCGCAGATGTCAATTACACCTTGTTAGTGCACTGCAACAAAAGTGGGGAGCACAAACTTTGTTTTATTTTCTCAGAGACCCAGCAAGGAACAAGTTCCACTGATTACTGACTTCTGACAATAGGAAGAAGCTTTAGTTCCTACGCTGTAGGATATAAAATTAAAAAAAATGCTTGCAACGAATATTATATGGATTCAATTTCATTAGGTGGTTATAGTTGTCAAAAGGTGCTCGTTTGGAAACCTACAAGCTTTTACTTGGTCTATATATATATTGGTTTTAAATTTTGAAACTCAGGATAATTCATAGATCTAATTTTATATTAATTAGAAAATTATGTTCAGGTAATTTAATCTTCTGAAAGCATGAAATTTGGGATCAAGTGGAACTCAGATAGTGGAAATATGATTTTTTTGGTAAAAATGGTGATATACTTAGATTAAAGGTTCTGCTGATTACAGTTTTAGAAAAACAATGAACTATGCAAGTTCTAGCATTCCACCTCTGATCGTTTATATAATGAAAGCCCGAAAGCCGGTCATCAGGAGAGAGGGCTCATACATTACTTCTTAAATGTGTTCATTTATCTGGAAAATTAAAAAAATATTTACGATTTTCAGATGATTGCTCAGATAGAGTCGTAAAAATGTCGATATGGCTTAATTATTGTATAATTATCTGAGGGATAAAATGGTCCATTCCTTCTGAAGTATCTATATTATGAAGAACAAATGCGATTGTAGAAGGAAAGAACTTTTAATTTAGAGTGAGGGAGTTTAAACAAAATCATTCCTATTCGTTATATCTATCTACTGATTCTAATTGAAAATGAAAACAAATCATTAGAATAGTTACGCGTTCTGATATGACATTAACACTATATAAAAGTTTCTGCCTAATTATATTTAAATAGTTTTTATCTTTATTCAACGTTAAATGCTGACAGGGAAAAAAGTCTTCGGCTCTCAGACAAAATTTGTTAATAATTGTGATCATATCAGCAGCTACTACATTTACAACGGAATAAACTTCTTAGTAGACAAACTTTTATTTGAAGGGAAGACATAACCGTGACAGTATAACTATTATCCTGAAGACATAACTGTACAACATAATTATTATTCTGAAGACAGATCCGTGACGACATAATTATTATTCTGAAGATCTGGCTGTGACGACATAACTATTATTCTGAAGGTATAAACGTTACGATATAACTATTATTCTGTAAACATAATTATTATTCTGAAGACAGAACCGTGACGACATAAGTATTATTCTGAAGATCTAGCTGTGACGACATAACTATTATTATGAAGGCATAACTATGACGACATAACTATTATTCTGTAAACATAATTATTATTCTGAAGACAGAACCGTGACGACATAAGTATTATTATGAAGGCATAACTATGACGACATAACTATTATTCTGTAACCATAAACGTTACGTGTTAACTATTGTTCTGTAGACATAATTGCGACGACATAACTGTCGTTTTGTAAACATAACCGTGATCATACGAATATTATTCTGTAGACATAATTGCGACGACATAACTATCGTTTTGTAAACATAACCGTGATCATACGAATATTTTTCTGTAGACATAATTGTGATCTATAATTATTGATTGGATTTACTTAATGTTGTTTGAGTCCTCAAAGAAATTGAGTTTAATTTCAGCCCAAGTATCCGAAGAAATACGTTAAACACAAGTTAGAATCGTATAGCTTATCTGATCAATTTCGTCTTATGGGATTTATAAGTCTCATTATATCTTCCATGTTAAAAGCACCAAAACGTTTCTCGCACTTTTATCAATTAAGACTCCCTAAAATTACCCTATTGCTTACTTTCTCTGTATAAAATATTAGTAATTCTTCCCCTGACTTTTACATAGTTGCAGCAAGTTATCACCCAGTGCTGAAAATGTTTATTCCTGTATCATCAGCTAGTGTGTATTCATAAATTATTTACGACAGTTATTAGTCATTAACTAAAAATCTGCTTGTGCATTTTACAGCTGTTTTTAAACTTTCAACTTTAGAAGTCCTTTTTCTTTGTTGAAGGGTGGGTAATAGTCAACTTTAAATCGTCTAAATCTGCTATCCATGTTAAAACTTTTTCCTTTGGGAAGCTATTCTTGGGCAAGTTGAATCCTGTGGCAATTAGTAACTGAAGGCTTATGACGCTAATATAAGGGTTTCGATACCCGTGGTGGGCAAAGCACAGAGAGCCCATTGCTAGCTTTGTGTTTAACAACAAGCAAACTGAAACCAAATTGAATAAAATATTTCATCTGGTCGTTAGTCAGAGTCAGATAAAAAAAAAGGAATCGAG